CACAGGAAAACATGTGGCCACAGAACTAAAAAAATGTCTTGTTATGGTTCTCCAATCAATAATAACAAAACAAGAAATAAAACGAGGATTTCTATCTTTGTGAAAAAGGTGTTGGTTATCAGAATCAGAATCATTTTTATTGCCACGTAAGTAACAGGAGGTCACAGACTTGGAAATTGCTTTGGCTCAGTGCAACAGTCAGAGAGAGAGAATAAAAAATAAAGAATAAAAAAAACACTTCTAAGGAATAAATTTAAAATTAAAAATTAAAATAGAGTTACAATTACTATATACAATATACAGTGCACATGGTGCACACAATGTAAGGTGACAGCAGTACAGTGAAATAAAGTCACTGGCATATCTGGCAACCTGAGTCAGGGAGAGTGCAGTACCACTTTTGGACAGATTTTAACATACTGCTCCTTTATTGTTCTAAGGCTGAGTATCCAATCAGAAAGCAGAATGAGTTTGGTCAGCTTAAACCTCAGTGGTTTAAAACCATGGATCAATTATATTAACTGGATAGGGTATTACTAGCTTGGAGCTGAATAACTCATGTGCTCGGGGGATTCTCGTGGTACTGCAGACTGAACCAGACTAAATTCACGTGGGCTACCCAGAAATTTTCCCCATAGGACTCAATGCATATTAAAACAGCTCAACCTCAGCTGACAGAGAACCTACAGCTTTCATAAAGGTCGGATTTTGTGGGGATTTTAGTGTCCCTTGTCATTCTGAACTTTTTTTCTTCTTAAATCCTTCGGTTTTGTTTAAATCCACACTTTACTGCCACAAACTCTACTCGTCTGGCTCTCGCTCTAACTCCCGCTCTGATGAACTGCTCTGATTGGTCAGAGCGCAGCCGAGCCCCTCTGTGCACGTGCGTAAGACCCGGTGTGAGACCCACACACGCGTGTTTGGCGCAACGCATTATGGGAGATCATCCACTGCGCAGAACCGGGAGGACCAGACGATGCCCAAATACAGGCGAGTTTCCCATGGACCATTGTGAGTTTCCCATGGACCTTTGCAAATTCCAGGCAACTTCCGCTAATCACTCAGCCCCCATGCCAGCACAAAGCGCCACTGAGCAAAACCATTCATTTGAATACGGCGCCATCTTGGATCACCGGGGCTTGTTTAAATTAAAGCTGAAAATGTCAAATAAACATTCTTATTCTGATCAGCCTGAGTACAGCTGTGCATCCCCTATTCCCAAAACTAAAAGATTGCAAAACCTTTTTTAGAACACATAACACATTGTACATACAGTCCTTTCAAGTGAGTTATTTGTGGATCACCATCGCTCCACCAACTTGGCTTCAAATGAAACTTTGATCTTGTAGAATATTTCTTTTTAGCATAAAAAAGTTGTGTCCACTGTAATAGCACACAATAGCACAAAGCAAACTGGATCTTTGAGCATCAAGAGACACGGCCCTTTACAGAGACCTCAGAAACCCTGAAAGACTGAGCTGCAGTGATTGAAGGTCTTGTGTGTGGATGTGGAGTTGAAAGAGCTTTGTAACTCCATGGGATTTGTTTCGGCTCAGGTAAAGATAACACTCGCTGTGCAGACAATGGGGTCACTGAGTTTTCACCAGAAATATATGCGCTGATGTCGTATCAAAAGGCTCTCCACATTACAGTGTAGCTTTTGTTTTTGCTCAGACGGGCTCAATGGTGGCATTTACCTGTTAGAATACCAACATAAAAAAAACACTTGAAGCTTAATGAGCTGCTAACAACAAAAAAAGGTATATATTCAAGTGCATTAATTTATTAACTGTTTAACCTCCTGGATGTTCCTGCGGTTCATGGTCTCTATGGACTGATGGGTTTGAGTAGAATCATACTGACAGCCCGTGAAGAGGAGATAATTACCTTTGACAAGCTTTGATCCAAGACATGAGTGTTGCTTTTGATGGAAGCTGGATATGAAAAGGAAAAAAATAATGAAATTAATGCGACCCAGATTATCTCACTCACATGCGGAGATGGATATGAAGCATCGCAAACAGATAAGATCAATAGTTGATACAAAAAAAAGAAAACAATGGAGATAAAAGAAAGGTTGGGAATAGCTGCAACTTGCTTAATAGCGTGGTATTAGTGGTGTATTTAGCTCAATGGCATCAAAGGAGTCAAAAAGGCACACATCTTATCCTTATAGGTGTTAAATGGAAGATGTCAAATTTTAAAATACAACAGTGATGGAAAGGAAGAGATACTAGCAGTGAAGATACTGTATTACTAGTATTACCAAAACACTGTTGGTGTGCCATGGTGTTTGCTTGGCCTATTTTGTTTCACAAGAATACACACACCATTTAAACCACCTGCTTATGGTTCATGAAAGCACTCTCCCTGTGATTTTTTTTAAGGTGTTTCTTGCTTGATATGTTTAAAGAACAGGGAGTGTATTTATGACTTACAGGGCTTTGCGAAAGTATTCGGCCCCCTTGAACCTTTCAACATTTCACCATATTTCAGGCTTCAAATATAAAGATATAAAATTTTAATTTTTTGTCATGAATCAACAACAAGTGGGACACAATTGTGAAGTGGAATGAAATTTGTTGGATAATTTAAACTTTTTTAACAAATAAAAAACAAAAAAGTGGGGCGTGCAATATTATTCGGCCCCTTTACTTTCAGTGCAGCAAACTCACTCCAGAAGTTCAGTGAGGATCTTTGAATGATCCAATGTTGTCCTAAATGACTGATGATGATAAATAGAATGCACCTGTGTGTAATCAAGTCTCCGTATAAATGCACCTGCTCTTTGATAGTCACAGGGTTCTGTTTAAAGCTCAGAGAGAACCATGAAGACAAAGGAACACACCAGGCAGGTCCGAGATACTGTTGTGGAGACGTTTAAAGCCGGATTTGGATACAAAAAGATTTCCCAAGTTTTAAACATCTCAAAGAACACTGTGCAAGCAATTATATTGAAATGGAAGGCGTATCAGACCACTGCAAATCTACCAAGACCCGGCCGTCCCTCCAAACTTTCATCTCAAACAAGGAGAAGACTGATCAGAGATGCAGCCAAGAGGCCCATGATCACTCTGGATGAACTGCAGATAACTACAGCTGAGGTGGGGATGGTGTGTTCAGGGTGATGAGCTGTGTTGCTTTTACGCCAAACATATTGTTTTGCATTGTGGCCAAAAAGTTTGGTTTTGGTTTCATCTGACCAGAGCACCTTCTTCCACATGTTTGGTGTGTCTCCCAGGTGGCTTGTGGCAAACTTTAAACGAGACTTTTTATGGACATCTTTGAGAAATGGCCACTCTTCCATAAAGGCCAGATTTGTGCAGTGCACGACTGATTGTTGTCCTATGGACAGACTCTCCCACCTCAGCTGTAGTTATCTGCAGTTCATCCAGAGCGATCATGGGCCTCTTGGCTGCATCTCTGATCAGTCTTCTCCTTGTTTGAGATGAAAGTTTGGAGGGACGGCCGGGTCTTGGTAGATTTGCAGTGGTCTGATACTCCTTCCATTTCAATATAATTGCTTGCACAGTGCTCCTTGAGATGTTTAAAGCTTGGGAAATCTTTTTGTATCCAAATTCGGCTTTAAACTTCTCCAAAAAAGTATCTCGGACCTGCCTGGTGTGTTCCTTTGTCTTCATGGTTCTCTCTGCGCTTTAAACAGAACCCTGAGACTATCAAAGAGCAGGTGCATTTATACAGAGACTTGATTACACACAGGTGCATTCTATTTATCATCATCAGTCATTTAGGACAACATTGGATCATTCAAAGATCCTCACTGAACTTCTGGACTGAGTTTGCTGCACTGAAAGTAAAGGGCCGTTTAATATTGCACGCCCCACTTTTCAGTTTTTTATTTGTTAAAAAAGTTTAAATTATCCAATAAATTTTGTTCCACTTCACGATTGTGTCCCACTTGTTGTTGATTCATGACAAAAAAATTTAATTTTATATCTTTATGTTTGAAGACTGTAATATGGCGAAATGTTGAAAGGTTCAAGGGGACCGAATACTTTCGCAAGGCACTGTATATTGTTCTAATATCTAAAAAAGATGATAAATTAACTAAAATGAATGTAGAATGAACCTGTGTAGGCAGGAAATGTCCCAAACCCCCGACTGGGGAAACAGTAGCTCAGTCGGTAGAGCATTGACCTTTGAGCCTGAAGGGCGAGGGTTCGAGCCCACCATGACACCTTCTCCACCAACTCCACTGATGACTGCTGTTGTTGTGTCCTTGGGCAAGACACTTAACCCCACTTTGCCTGAAGCCCCTGCTGAAAGATCAAGGCTATGACATAGAGCAGCCATCCTCCTGTGGACTCACCACCAAAGGGATATGTCAATTATTTTATTTTAAAAGGTATTTAGGAGGATTTTCCCAAATTTTAGGAAAGAACCGCCCTCTCCACTTTTTGAACAAAACTCTCGGGTCTTGTTTGATGAGCACGTATCACCAGAATGATTGACAATCGGAAGGAATAGTCTTGATGATTTACACCCGGAAGAAGAAAACACTCTAATATGCCTTAAACTGTGCAATTGTAAAGAACATAATTTCACCCAAAAAAAATTCACAACAAATTCATTGGCAATACTTCTGTTTTAAAAGGGAAAAAAAAAAACATTGTGATTGGGAGTCATAATTGTGAGTCATAGTAGTACAAGGGCATTATACTACATTACAGGACTGTGCTCCGAGTTCCTGATATTTGCGTGGATGGATCTAAAAAATTTTTTTTAGAGAGAACAATGTTTAACCTGGCTCAAACCCAAGTTGAAAAAGTTTTATTTAGCAGTGCATAAAACTGAAAGATTGTATACTCACTCTTTTTAAAGTACTGTGATTAATTGTTCATTTATTCAAAGTCTATTTTGCATAATCTGTATTTTCTAAATGCAAATATTTCATGATACTGCTCACACCTGGCTGTGACAGAACTATTGAGTTGCAGACCCAGGTTGTGGCAGATGGCATTCCACACTTGTCATATTTTTCATGCACATGTGACTTGCTCTTGTATCCGGCTAATGAGTCCTGTGCTGATGTTGTTGTTTTGGAGGCTCAGGTGCCTCAGAGGGAGCTGTGTTCGGGCCAGCAGTGCCCCCATTATGTCATTTCCTCCAACATCACTGATGCCGTTTCCATCCAGGTCCACTTTCTGAAGGTTCATGTTCACCGCCAGAACCTCAGCCAGCAGTCTGACCCCGGGGTCTCCCAAGTTGTTCTCGTCTAAAATGATTTGAGTCAGAAACATGTTTTCTTTAAGGCTCTCAAAGAGTTCCTTCCAAGCAGCCATGTCCGCCCCGCTAGTCTGTGCCAGCCCCAAGTACTGCAAGTACGAGTGATGCCTCATGTAAGATGCTAACAGTCTTACGCCTTCGCTGCCAAGGCCATTCCCTCCAATGTCCAGTTCCACAAGAGCAAAAAGCCTAAAGCAGGTCCAGTCACAGGGCAGAGAGGCCATGGCCTGCTGCACAAGGGCCTCATGCTCTGGGGGTAGGAGCAGGGCCTGTTGGATGGAAGCCGCCATTGCAGCCGTTTGCTCCTGCAGCTCCACAACACCACTGAGTAAAGCCTGCAAGCCATGATCACGAAATCTGTTCCCAAACAAGCTGAGGAGAGAAGACAGCGTTTTAGTTTGAATGTGATTATCCAATACGTGTATATAAATGTAATATAGATGTGTAGTTGTGCCACATTCAGCCAGAGATTACATTCATACGTCATATTTCAGAGATGAACGATATCTTTTTTTTTCACTTATTGTTAAGTTTGTGTGAAGCCAAATATTGTAAAATAAACATGTTTTATATTTTCTAATTATAACATTGTCGAGACGCTTTGGGGGAAATTCCAAATCTGCAGTATATGCAAGACGGCCCAGAAATGTACAGGAATCAAAGGCTTTTTTTCCATCAGAGAGAGTAAAGAGCCTCATCCACAACAACCACTACATACTCCAACCTGATAAATGTTAAAGAGGCAATACATGCTTTTGAGCATGGATTAATGATAAATGTTTTCTAATAAAAATGAGGACAGGATGATATGGACAGATTTTTTTTTAAACAGTATGTGTGTTATATATGTTTTAAAAAGGTTAGGCTCATTTCATTTTCTTTTTAAGATTATTTTCTGGTATTTATTTATGGATTGATTGATTTATTTATTTATTTACCCTTTATACTGAGCTAAACATAACTCTACACTATGTCAGTCTGAGGACAAATTGGGGAAGGTGGGTGGTATGGGGAGGAGGGTAGGAATAGCAACAACAAAAAAACAAGAACAACACACAGATTGTACTTTCTGTGAATAACTGCATTTAAATATGTGAAAATAAGTGATATCAGCTATGAAAGCCTTAACTGCCTCTGTGTGTGTGTCGTATGTTGTCGAATGGCGGACTCACTGTATGGCTTGGATGTGGGGCTTGACCCTCATGAGCTCCAGCAGGATGTGGGCTCCGTACGGCCCGATGTGGTTCAGATTGAGGTTGAGCAGCGTGACGGAGGAGGGGCTGCTCTTCAGGGCAGCAGACAGGCTCAGCAGCAGGTCATCAGTCAGAGCAGTGTTCCTCAGCACCAACTGTTCCACCGCGTCGCTCGTCTTCAGCACCGTAATCATGGCCTCCACCTGCAAACCCACGCACAGTCAGCAACGGCCGGTACAAAGCTGTTATTGTGGAGAGTGGTTTGACCTCGGCTCGTTTTCCACGGGTCTGCATTGGGGACAGTACGGAGCATGTCTCCACTATTCCAAATGATGATGTAAGAGAGAGGCGGTGGGGTGAGGTGCAAGGGAGGGAGTCACGGGATGTTGATTTTGTTTGCTGTGTTTCAGAATGTAGGTCGTATGGGGTGTGAGTGTGTGTATGTCACTGTCATTGCCTTCAGTACTTCAGAATTTTGTGTGCGTGGCAGGAGCGCTGGTGTGCACACTGGGGTATTCTTACACAGTTTTTCCAATGTGGTTTAACTGCAAATGGCAATACATTCTTGAATATTGAATGTCACAGTCATTGCCATCAGTATTCCTGAATTTTGCTGTGTGTGTAAGTGTAAGTGTATGTGTATGTGTATGTGTATGAGTAAGTGTAAGTGTACATATGTGTCTGTATGCGTATGTGTGTGTGTGTGTGTGTGTGTGTGTGTGTGTGTGTGTGTGTGTGTGTGTGTGTGTGTGTGCGTGTGTGTCTTATTTGCTGTGGTGCACTTCCTTATATTCTCTTCACTTGTTTCTCCTGAGCTTCATTGTGTATAAAAAGACAAGTATAAATCTATTCATAACAGATAGCCATAAAAAACTTTTTTTTTCCATTCTACTGATTTTGTTCTTTTTCCCAATGCTCTACAACACACTGCATTCCGACGACTGTTATGGGCGCACACCTGAGATTCCAGATCAGGTTCCGGGACAGGTTCTGGGACGGGCTCTTCCTCCGGATCTTCCTCAGGCTCTGATTGCACTGATTCGCTCTCTGCTCTCAGCTCCACATCTGAACCGGAGCTTTTGGGACCTGACGACAACTCTTTCTGAAGGCGGCGCCGCTCCAAAACTTGAACACAAAAAAGGGAAGATATCAGAATGCACAAAAAAATGAGGCCGTTACTGTTATGAATGCTAATATTTGGCTGAGCCCTGGAGTTTAGGAGTAATGCATGCCCCCCGCACGACAGGTTATCGGTCTTTCACAAGCTGACTTTGTTTAATACATGACTCCAGTGTCTTAAGTGAATTATGTAAATGAGTTACACTGCGGGTGCTTCCTCTCTGCCTCTGCCGAACCCTTGTGTCTTCACTCACTGTTTGCCTTGAACCCGTTGTGTTTGATTGGGACTGGCTCCAGCACGGCACTCATTTCCACACATGCTTCGTCCACGTCTCTGTGTCTTTCGTTGACAAGGTTTTTCTCATGTGTTCCGTGTTCCTCCTGCTTCTCTCCCATCTGCCCTGTCGCTGCTGCCTCAAACTGCAGGGAAACTTCAACACAGACATGCATTCACCGTTTTTATTTATGCGCATAAAGTGGCAGGACATTATTCATCAGCGGTGTGAGGAAATAAATGTACTCAATCCTCCAAACATTCTCATTATTTTGTTAAAAGTAATGAATAAAAAGCCAGAGAACCTCACTTTGAATCTACAAAAGATAATGAGTAGTAACAACATTTTCATTTTAAAGCTGCATATTTGGAATAATATCCTACTAACTCGTTCTTAACTCTTAAAAATCTTAGGTTCTGTCTCTAGTTTTTACAAGAATGTATTATTTTGCCTATTTTCGCATCTTTGAATCAGCTTTCTCAGTGAAAAAGTGAGTACCAGCCCTTACTCAGCCAATCAGCTCCAGTTCAGATCAAAGGTAGGTACTCTAGCTGTGTAATATAAGTGAGTAAAAGTATTATAACTATACTTTTGGTGAAAACCTAATGCTATGTGTTCGACAAGACATCTATCTGAAATAAAACCACTTGAGTATTGTTTAGAAGTAATAAACACGTCGCAACAGTAGATATTATAAAAAAAAATCCCTTGAAACCTATACTATTCTCACCTTGTGTTTTGTCTGCATTGTTTTGCTGCATGGACAGTTGCAGAGGACTTTGTAGATCCAGTGGCTCAGCTCTGCTTTGTTTTAGTTTCTCTTGAGGTCGGTTTTCCACTGTTATTTTTGGTGGAGAAGGTCGGGTAATGTTTGTTGGTTGGACATAACTTGGCTGGTTCTGTTTCGTCTCGAGCCCTGCAGACGCCACACTCTCTTCCCCGTGACGTGACTCCTTAGAGCCATGGCAGTCCGGCGTCTTCTCCTCTCTCGTGTTAGTAACCTCTGCATTGTCTTTGCCACGTTTGTGCTTGGAGTGACCTTTGCAGCGCTTTTTCTTCTCCACTGCCTTATTGGATTCAGCCGCCGTGGGCTCGTCGTTGTCTGTAGACGCATTGCCGTTCCTGTTTTTGTCGTGTTTTCTGGTCCGCCTCGTCGCTTTCTTTTCTGGTTTCGCTGGGATGAACAGTGGAGATGACGGACACGATTCGTCATCATCTAAACACACAGGCCACACGTATTTATGATACTATGATTCTGAGTCTGCATTTGGTTGTACTGCTAGTTAAGAGCCTTCGGTTGTGTTGCATTATCCTGGAAATGTAGTGATAATGCTCCAAACGCAATGAAAAATATATAATAATACATCGGTTTTATTTAGCGCTTTTCAAAAACACACACACACACTTACACATTCAGACAGACAAACGAAACTAAAAATCTAAAAGCAGTAAAGAAAAGTGCAAAGCTGAAACTAAGAGTTGTATGCTTGGAAGAAGAGGTAAGCTTTTAAATGTTTTTAAAAGGAGTTTAGTGAGTCCGAGGCGCACTTGTAGGGTCTTTGCTCGAACTGACACTATATAGCGTGTAACAAGAAAACAAGTCAGATCCTTAGAATAGAAGTCTGTTTACAGAAATAATCCATGTTTGAAGATTTATTTTAACAACATTCATGTAATTGAACAATTTCAAGACGTATTCAAATTAAAAATGGGGCGGTTATTGTCAAGAAAAAGGTAATAATATTATTGTGACAGATGGAAGGATAGAAAAGACCATACAGGGAAATTACCTTATCTTACTTTACCTTTATGTAAATATATGAAAAAGTGTAAACAATTCTCTTCAATACATAATTTGCAGTTTTGGCACAGCGATCGTGCAGAACTTCTGTGAAATTACCCGGCAGCAGATGGCACACCACCACCACAAGAAAAGTAAAACTTTAACTTTATGAAATTCTACAATTGAAGCTATTTTGACTCCGAATATCTCAATGTAATGTTGTGCAATGAAACTAGTTGTAGGCTTTTGTTCAACATGTTTTCTTTTGGTTTTTGGGACCAGGAGCTGTATTAAAAAGCTATACCTACCCGAAACTACTGATGAATACGCTTTGGAAAGCCGGGGAAAAAGGAGACCCTCATTTCCAGCTTTTGTAACGCGGCCAAGGCTTTGCTCTGGTGGGAGAATGAAGTTTTCTTTGGTGCCATTGCTCAACTGCTGGAAGGAGCTATATTTGTTTCGAAGGCTTGTACATCTGAAAAACAAGAAATATCTTTTTTTTTTCCAGTGCGACGTAGGCTGACAGCTCACACCTCAAACACTATTCCCCTTGTCATGTAATATAGACTTTTCTCCACAATATTGATGCGGAGAGGGGGGTCTTTCCTCCAACCTCTAGTACGGTTTTCATGCGAGCAGATGTGTGGTCTTGATGTGAGGTTGTGGTTCACTCTGAAGACATGGAAAGGGTCAAATATTCACATATCCATAAATAATGACTATCTATGGTCAGCATTTTTACAAGCCCACATCTTCTAATCTGCAGAATATTCTTTTAATTCCAAACCATTTAACACATGTATTCAGAAATACTCTTACGTGTGCAGTGGAAAAGGGTGAACTCTGAGGCACCCTGATATAATCAAATATAATCTATTTAATCCCTAAATTCATCCCCTGACATATTAATGCTGATGAATAAAGGATAACGGAAGCTTTTAAGGTGCTTGCACATTGCTTAGTCTGTCCAAAAAAACACAGTTCCAATCACATCTTGCAGTGTAAATCAGAAGTTTACATACACTGTGTATAAAACATATATCATTTGCACTTGCACACTGGGTGAAATTATACTTCAAATAATACATTATTCAGGTTAAAAAATAGCTGACCTAAACGAGGAGAGAAAAGACTTTTACATAATAAACTCCTGGTTTCTGGCATTAGTCCAAACAGTATACACTTGATAGTTAACTTTTTCTTATTTTACTTTTACTTAATACTATGTTGAAGTACCATTATATAATAACATATAAGTAAGGGAAATATTAAATGTGATGTCAGCAACCTCATATGTATTAAAATGTAAAAGAAAGTATATTTCTGACCATAGGGCACTGTACTATTATGTAAGTATTTTCCACAAATATATTTCAAACAGTACCTCTTTGGCATAACTACAACTCGTAAGATTCTGGAGGAAAATAGTTAAACCAATGGCGAGGGAGCCTTTATGGGCGACAGTAGCTCAGTTGGTAGAGCATTGGCCTTTGAGCCAGAGGGTCATGGGTTCGAGCCAGACTTTCACCATACAGTAGACTCCCGCTGTCGTTGTGTCCTTAGGCAAGACACTTCACCCCCATTGCCTAGAATGAGTCTGGTGTGTGTGTGAATGGTTGGTGGCGGTCGGAGGTGCTTCTGTCAGTGTGTCCCAGGGCAGCTGTGGCTACGGTAGCAGTTTATCACCCCCGTGTGTGGAGTGAAAGAATAATGACATGTAAAGCGTCTTGAGTGTCCAAAAAAGCACTATATAAACTGATGCATTATTATTATGTTTCCCACAGCAGAGACATTTCAAGTGTTTTAATTTTATAAGTACAAACCAGGGGCGACAGTAGCTCAGTTGGTAGAGCATTGGCCTTTAGGCCTGAAGGTCGTGGGTTCAATTCCCACCTTGACACCTTCTCTGCCGACTCCCTCTGCTGTCGTTGTTGTGTCTTTGGGCAAGACACTTAACCCCACTTTGCCCAAAGCCCCCGCTGGGAGATCATGCATGCTCACATTGACAGAGCAGGAGGTGGGTCCTCCTGTGGACTCACCACCTGCAGAGGATCAGTGAGGGGCAGGTGCTCTGTGACTTGGGTGGCATCTCTGATTGCCACCCCCCAACCCAGAAATGGATTAAGGGGTAGAAAATGGATGGATGGAAGTACAAACCATTAAAAAATGACTTTGAAGTATTTTTTACCCCTTACACCAGTTTGGAAACCACATTCCTAAAGCCACTAATTTCAGCATAGAACTAAAGCGTTTTAACGGTGCTCTTTTCTTTGATTAAACTCCTATTTTTTACGCTTTAGCTCGGCAGTTGTAAAAGTGGTGGTACCCATGCAGACCCTAGTTACCCCACCTCACGTGTAGACTGACCTATAGCAGGGAACTCCCCCCGCGAGCCAGGCCAGTCTGAAGCAGCTCTTCTTGCCCTGCTGGAAGCCCGGTGTGTAGCGATACTCGCAACAGGAGCTGATTCTCGCCACCATGAGCCCGTTGACATAGAATGTGGTGCTGAATGGGTAACCTCTGTGTCTCTGTGATGTAAACTGGAACTGTTCTGTAACATGGAGAGAAATGCAGTGAGGTTAGATGTGTTTGAAATGTCAGTGTAACCCCTGCAATAAACAAGGGACCACTCTACACAGTGGGCCAGAGAGTAAAATGTGGCATAAGATTCTGACAAAAATATGACATACACTGTATTCATCGAGACAATGTCACCATAGACTGTATGTAGCTGGCTTCACCTCAATGAAGCCAAATATGGAAGTGCTCATGGAGGATATTTTGCTCCAACTCGCTCTGGCTCCTATTGACTTTGACATTGAAAAGTAAACTCCACTAGCTCAGTATCCACGTGTGTCACACTCTCCACACTTTTGGGCTTATCTTTTGATATTGTCTTTGTAAGTCCAATTATCACCATGTTAGCAACACGTCTGCCCCTGTTACGGTGAAAACCCTGTTAAACAACTGCACATATAAGGTAAGTGATTCCAATTAGCTTACTGTACGTATGTTCAAAACGACTTCTCCCACATTCGGCAAACACCATGGGTGACGTCAGCTCTCTGCCAGACCATTCTTAACACACAGTCTATGGTGGTAATGGACCCAATTCCATTTTCATACACAGGGCAAATCTGGAGAAATTCTGGAGAACTCATACCTCCAGAACAACTGTGAACATACCTAAACAATTCCTTAAAGACATACAGTATGTACTAATACAGCTCAATGCATGCTGATGTCCTACCTCCTGGAGTCACCAAGCCCTTAAAGACACAGATGTTTTCCCCTCCATTGACCTGCTGCAGGATTTTGAGTTCATCCTGAGTTAGTTGGATAGAAGACCCCCGACGACCTTGCCCAAGGTAGGTCATTGAAACTGTCACATTGGATCTTTTAGCTTCTCGCCGAGTTTTCAAAGAACTCTAGGAGGGGGGAGGAATACTGTAAAAACACTATACATCTCTTGCAACATTTTTGTTTCGTTCCTTACCTGTTTTCCAATTGGGTTTTGCATCTTTTGTGATCCAACAGAGGAGATGGAGCCTCTGCGTTTGTCGTACAGGTAAGGACAGGACTGGCTCAATGAACGTAACCCTAGGCCCCTTAAGGAGGTCAGACTGGAGGCCTTTGTGGCGATGGTCGGCAGGTAGACTCCATCTTTGACCGGTCGAGAACGAGGGGATGCATCGTCGAGCTGCCGGTTTAAAACATTTTGTCATTTGCAAAGAATAAGATACAAAAATTTCTGTAGGTGAGGAGTTTTACATTTTTGACTGCCTTTGTTACATAATTTGAATAAAAAAGCAGTTCTGAATCTTGGCATCATAGAGCAAGTCATTTCTGTTATCTCTTTCACGGCCATAAATGTTGACGATCACTTTTAAAGCTCCGGTTCTGAATAGTGAGAGCTGACCTTATATATCTCCACAGTGTCCGGGCTTTCCAACAAAAGCAGTTTGCTCTTTGCTCGGATCAGACTGGCAACAGAGTGAATCATTCTGGGGTCTCTGCTGGCTTTCGCAGGAACCTGTTAGAGAAGTGAAAGCATACAGAAAAGCTAAAATCCATGTTCAATTAAAAAAGGTGCAGATGTATACTTACAGGAGTGTCTCGGCTGGCCTCGTGGATGCCCTTGTGAATAATGTCCTGGACAGTTTGGCTGTTTCTTCTCAACCTCCGAGTAGATTCTCTTTGATAGGAATCCATATTGTCCTATTCAAATCTGCAAAATATTCTCTTTATTCTGAAAACAAATGTTTAACAAAATGTTATGGACTTTTTTTCATATATATATATATATAATATATATATATATATATATAAATGATATATATTATATATAGAGATATATGTTATATATAGAGATATATATTATATATATTATATAGAGATATATAGAGATATATATTATATATATTATATAGAGATATATAGAGATATGATGTTGACACTTTTAATTACAGTAAAATTCAATATTTTTTCTCCCATTTTGTCTTCACAAACTGTGGAATAATTTGTAAACCACAAAATATTCAACATTTCAGAACATCTTAAATACCCACTTTAAAATGAATCACATTTCATTGGCTTTTAATGTCACATTATCAAAGCTGGTGTAGAAAGTGGAACCACATTGCCACCTAGAGCATTGGGAAGTAAAAGGCTTATATTAAAGAATAGATCCAGCTCAGTTCCTACAGTATGTGTAACACGAGCAGACGCCTGCTGATCAGAGGAAGAGGAGAAGAGTCTGGACTGCAGCCCCAGGTGTCTGTATGTACAGTACAGTACAGTATAGTTCTTTTAACGGCCTCAGTGCAGCACAGTGCACTGCTGTAATAACATATCTAACTATGTAAGCTTTACACATGTGTGTTATTGATATGTTGTTGCTTTGCCTTCCATGTTCCACAGGGCTCTTAAAGTTCAGTTCTCTTATGAATTACAGGTGCTGATGAAGGAGAAACAGTTATTGTTGAATAAGGAGACAGAATTTGGAACACCTGCATTAAATGTATTTTATTATTGTGGGTTTTTTTGTACATGATCCAATCAGTTGTGAATTCTTGGGATAGTTCCTTGTTCGTGCGTATAACATCATAGAGGAGGATTTTCTATTAAAAAATGCATGCTTCACCATTTCATTTTATTTTATTTTTTAAGTAACTTGGTATTAAACAGTCTATGGTCAGAATACCCATACTTTAATGTATTGCATAATTGTTTTGATATTTCATTGTTACGGTTAGTTTTAGAGAAAAAAAATGGTCATTATGTTTGTATCCAGGGAATAAGAAATATATCATAGAACAGAATAGATTGACTTTTAGCATGCTGAATATTCATTTTCTATATTGGAAAACAATTAACAAACAAGTCTCAATACAATGATGCTAAAAGTCTTTTGACTAGATTACCCTAGATTACATTAACTCAGAAAGTTCTGAAAGTTGATGAAGACTATAAGATGTGTTACATTTATTAACACTTAGATAAGCTGACACAGCCGCTTACCTGCGTCTGGAGCTGTATGCGTCTGTACCTCAGCCTGAATATGATCTGTGGTTTCTGATCTGTTCTTCTCTGTCACATGAGACGACAGCACCTCTGCCCTCATCCAACTTTAATCAGCTCCTGATCTTTGCTGTTTCCATCTGCAGCAGAGTCTACAGCCGCACAGGACCAAGGTTCCAGTCTGCCATGAGACTCCTTCATTGATCGATACAACTGTTTTTTGTTTTTTTTTCTGTGCATTATTGCGATTAAATTTTTCGACTATCTTTTTATTTCTCTGCCAAAAGTGATGAAAAATAAGTACAAAATTGCTCAAATTTGATCAAATGTATCTTAATTTTGTCAGCCGTAAAACATGATTTGTTTAAAAAATATATAATAATAAAAAGGCTATTTAATCACATGAGACTGGAAAATGCAGTCTAACTCTATTCACTGCAATAATATTTGGCCAGTGGGAGAATGTAATGAAAGGGTACTGCAGGTAAGTATGTTTTAGGTATCTTTACATTGGGACATTTTCATTGTAAAAGAAAGAATCACTATTGTCGACAGCGTGTCATTATTATTATTTTTTTTCAGGAAACACAAACAATGTTAAAATCACACACACATGTATCACATGATCTTCTTATCTGCAGCTGTAAACCTTTCTACCACAGGTGCCAGGATTATGAAGAAAGGATTAAGGTAAAACAGTGCATTCTAGCACAAAAAATATATATATACATTTGAACAATGTGGCCATTGTATACTTCTCTTTAAAATTGAGCCTTGCAGTTCTTAAGTGAAAACAGTGAGTTCTGTTTCCAGACATTTGGATTCCATTTGTTTTAAGAATGTTTTAAAACAAATGGAAACATTTGTAGAAACCCACATACAGTATATGCCCTTTAATCCAAGACAATGGGTCTAAACATTGTACCCCTGTTTTCATTTTAGTCCTCTGTCTCTGTTAAAGAGGATGTAGCTCCCCTTTTTTTCAAAGTGTGGTTATGCAAGCGTTCATATGTTATTCTCTTTAGCTCAGCATATAGAGAAGGCTCGGATTTATAAATGCCAGAAATGTTCCCTTAGAGGATAAGTGAGAGAAAGTGTTTTCAAAATTGTTAGATTGAATTATGCAGATATTTCACTTTCTACAACTCTCTACTTTCACACAACGCCACAACAGAGCTTTATGAGACTCTAAACATAATGTATTTCATAATACACATCCTGTGGTGGCAACTTCCATGTTTCTCCGACCTCCTGTTTAAGAATTTAGGCTGTAGTCCTTTATTACAGGGTCAGTGTTAGTATCTTTAAGAAAGATGTAACAAATTTCGTTCTATAATAATGTATTGGAAGTGTTCAAATAACTAGAGCATCATATCATTCAGTAGTGCTGGTGTGGGGCGCCCTCTAGCGGACACTTTCAGAACTGGCAGTACGCCACCAGTATGTCTCAGTCTGAGAAAGTCAAAGTCACAAAGTGGGAGACCATGTGCATGCATTACTTTTTAAAGGACATACACGTGAACTAATTATATTGACGATTGTTTTTATAAACAAGAGTTTCACTGTAGGCTGATTAGGTTATTAGGCCCCTATCCTACCTGAGGTTCTCCTCTTCAAAGCCTGGCTGGGTCAGGGAGAGGTTTGGCCTGTGCTTGCTGTGAGTTGAAGAATGTTACATGTTCTGTTTACCTGGAGTTTACCTGGAGTCACGCAAGCGGTGTTCCACCTCCTAAATCCCTGTAGCTACACGGCTCATCTTTTTCCTAAGCTGTCGTTTGGTTTATGGCCACTTGAGGGCGCCAGAAGACCAACTACAGGCAGTGTGATGGTGGTCGTGTTTATTAATTGTTGGGGGACTGGGGCTCACGGGGCTCTATGTTAAAGAGCCCTTTCAGAATCAGAATCAGAATCAGAATCATTTTTATTGCCACGTAAGTAACAGGAGGTCACAGACTTGGAAATTGCTTTGGCTCAGTGCAACAGTCAGAAAGAGATAATAAAAATAAAGAATAAAAAACACTTCTAAGGAATACATTTGAATTTAAAATAGAGTTAAAGTTACTATTTACAATATAAGTGCTCATTGTGTGAGTGTGAGTGTGTGACTATCTGGGAGACCCTCACTCTCTGCCTCACCTGCAATTCATCCAGCCTCTGCACCCCTGGACCCCCAGCCAACCCTCACTATCAGTAAATGGTTTGTGTCTGGTCGTACTCTTGGGTTCCTCCCGTCTGGGATTCTGTGGAAACCAGAAACCATTCATCATCTTTGATGTTTGTGGTGAAAAGTCTTCTCTGTCAGAAATCTGCACAGACCTGACTCATACCATGGCTTTTGTTCCTTTCTTCAGTACATGGCACTATAGTTCATTAGAAGCTTCTTATTTCCAGACTTTCTGAAGCCTATGGCCTTAAGTCTCCAATCATCACTTTAACATAATTATTAATCTTACATGTACAAAAGGCTTGATAACACATATGGGACATCCTGGAGTCATAACGCGTTACCTCACTCTTGTTTGACACCCATGGGTGCTGGTCACAGTGAACAGTTGCTCCTGTTCCAGACCTCTTGCTCTAGTGGCACATTCAGGCCATCTGTGCAGAGCCGTGTGGACAGATGACCCCTGACAGACCAACGTAGATTAGACTGGAAGCGTTTCTTAATTTTTGACGTCTTACATGTTGCAACTACTGTTTCTTAGTTTTTACGTCTTCTATAATTGTTGAACATTATTTGAAGTTAAATTCAATATTGAATCTTGGTAGAAGTGTTATTCATAGTGCCAACATGCCACCATGTGTTTAGTTAATTCAATATTTTACACTACCAGCTGGAACCAATACAAAATTGAAACTACAGCCTTTATCAATTTGTATTATAATGAAAATCAAACAAAGAGCATAACAGTCTTTCTAGTCATCTTGAATAAATCTTGAATCTTGAACCCTATCTAACTTTGGGATTATGTATCTGAGTGGTTTGTGCTCAGAGAACATTTATTTGTCGCACAGTGCAGAGATTCCAATGTCAAAGTCACTACGCATTACAAGACAGCGGGAATAACAAGAACACTCAAACAGGACAATTGTAACAGCTGTAAATATTTATAGAATACATTTACTAATTCACTCAATTACTAAAATATGAAATAGCTATGGCCCAAATACAAACAATGTGCTTTTATTTTGTAATGAATGAGCACAAGGCGGAAAGCCAGAGAAGGGAACTCGCAGACAGACTGCAATGTTTTATTCAGTTAAATTTTACTTTGTTTATCCCCGCATTGAATTTTGTCCTCAGTGTTGACCCATCCTGATGCCACTGGGGCATCATCAGGAGCAGTGGTCGCCGCAGTTTTATACAGATAGCTCGAAATGATGGCAAAATAATTATAATACATTTTTTCTAATGAGCTATTTTACTTAATGAGCTATTACATAAGTACATGTAATATATATATATATATATATATATATATATATATATATATATATATATATATATATATATATATATAAATTAAAAAACCCTCATGGAACATGGAAAAACAATGACGGATAATGATAAATGAGGGATAATGAAAATGAAATATAAAATGATAAATGAGAGATAAGTAAAACGATAAACTGAGATGTATTATTCCCTATTGATCCAAATGATGAATGAATGAATGCATTTCATCAGTTTT